TCCAAGATACTAAATGGAATACTGATCGATGTAATCCTAACCAAGCATTATGGTCAAAAGAAAATGACACTCAGAAGAAAAGCAGAAAACCTTGGTGTTGGAACTGCCGTTCATTAGGTCACACAAAACAAAATTGTACAAAGAAAAAGTTAGAGCCAGAATGTTCATCGAGTACCATCAATAAAAATAAAGACAAGAAACAGAACAATAATCCTAATGATAAAGTCGCAGCCCTGATCACGGCTTTAGGATGTCAGACAAGCTTGAAAGAATGGTACATTGATTCAGGAGCTTCCAGTCACATGACTTATCGAAAAGATTGGCTCATTAACTTTACGAACGAGACTAATAATGGCTTGGAAGTATGTGTTGCTAACAATCAAACTCTTTACAGTGAAGGAATTGGTGATTTTCCCGTTCATTTAAAGTCAAATATTACAATGATCGCCGATGTCACATATGTTCCTAACCTAGCTTCGAATCTTTTGTCAGTTAGTCAGCTGATTTCTAAAGGCTATGTTGCTGTATTTGATCGAGATGGATGTAAAATAATAGATTCTCATGATTTTGTTTTTCAAGGCAATATTCAAGCTACCGCTAGTCGAATTGATGGAATATATCGGCTTGACGTAGCAGAACATGCTTATGCAATGAAACAAGTAGAATCACATATCTTGTGGCATAAACGACTTGGACACCTTAATCGAGTTAGCATGAATTTACTCCGTGACAAACTTGGTACAGGTGTTAATTTCGAATATGAAGTAGAACCAATTCAGTGTGCACCATGCATTAAGGGAAAACAAAGCCGTCGTCCTTTCAAAAATGACAAACATAAGATGTCAAAGGAAAAGTTAGATCTTTTGCATATGGATTTATGCGGACCAATGCCCGTTACTTCTTGGGGTGGCTCCAAGTACTTTTTCAGTCTTGTGGATGACTGTACAAGAAAGGTGTTTGTTTATTTTCTTATATCAAAAGATGAAACCAAATCATTTTTTAAAGATTTTAAAATAAAAGTAGAAAACGAAACCAACAAAAAAATTAAAAAGATACGGAGCGACAATGGTACAGAATTCACTAATAAAAGTTTCCAAGATTTGATTAAAACATCAGGAATATTGCATCAGTTCTCTGTTCCATATACTCCACAACAGAATGGCGTAGCAGAGAGAATGAATCGAACCATAATGGAAAAAGCAAGAACTATGATGCAAGAAGCTTCATGCGATCATCGTTTTTGGGCATAAGCTGTTAATACTTCCGTTTATTTAATTAATAGGTCTCCTACCAAAGTTTTACCTGGTGTTACGCCCGAAGAAAAATGGTCCGGTAATAAAATAGACCTCGGCCATTTAAAAGTATTTGGTTGCATTGCTTTTTCTCATATTCCTAAAGAAAAGCGAAACAAACTTGATGCAAAAAGCCAAAAACTAATATTTGTGGGTTACAGCGAAGAATCTAAAGCATATAGACTTTTCAATCCTCAAACTCAGGAAATTGTAAGGGCTCGAGACGTTGAATTTTGGGAAAATAATTTTTACAATGACAATCTTAGCCTGCCGGCGAGTAACAGCAAAAGTATAGTTGTTTTAGATGACTTATTTTCTCTGAGTTCGTCTTCAAATTTCGAAGAAATACCTCTTCAAGAAGATTTGGAAGCAATGCAAATTCCAGAAGCTGTGGACGATAACGCCGATATCAGTGAAGAAGAGGACGCCTTACAACAACAAACCCCAACTATAGAACTACCTCCAGAGCCTAGATATTCACAGCGAGAACGTGTTCCTAAAACGTATCCAGACTTTATACTTTACCAAACTATATGTAAAGTTGAAGAACCGGAGGAACCTGAAACTGTCAATGAAGCTATATCTGGAGAATACAGTAGCGAGTGGAAGGCCGCTATGAAAAGTGAGTTTGACTCGCTTATGGAGAATCACACCTGGGAGCTGGTAAATAAACCGAATAATAAAAATATTATAAAATCCAAATGGATTTTTAAAGTGAAACGTGATGCAAATAGAGAAATAACCAGATTCAAAGCAAGGCTTGTTGCTAAAGGCTTTACGCAAAAGTATGGAATCGATTATTTTGAGATTTTTTCTCCCGTTATTCGTCATTCTTCGATTCGTCTACTTTTTGCTTTGGCTGCTAAATATACTCTTGAAATGGAGCATCTAGATGTAGTGACTGCTTTTCTTAATGGGGACCTGGAGGAAGAAATTTTCATGTATCAGCCAGAAGGGTTCATTGTTGAAGGGGAGGAACAAAAAGTATGCCTTCTTCACAAAGCACTCTATGGATTGAAGCAGTCTGCTCGATCATGGAATAAAAGAATTAATGAAGTACTGTTAACGTTGGGTTTTAACAGATCAAATCATGAAAGTTGTATATATTTTAAAATTATTACTTCCAGCATGGTTATTTTAGCTTTGTATGTTGACGATTGTTTCCTATTTTATAATGACCACAAGGAAGTGGCCAAACTGAAAAAAGAGCTTTCCATGAATTTTAAAATTAAAGATTTAGGTAAAACTGCCAACTGCCTTGGACTTAAAATTAGGCAACATCACAAAAAGATTACATTAAATCAGGAAACTTACATTTTAAACTTGTTAAAAAAATTTAACATGGAGAAGTGCAATCCAGTCAGTACACCGCTTGATTGTAATGTAAAATTTCAAGACCACTACACTGCTATTGACAATGTACCATACCAACAAGTTCTTGGATGTTTAATGTATTTAAGTGTTATGACACGGCCAGATATTTCTTTTGCCTGTTCGTATTTAAGCCAGTTTAATACCAGTCACTCTTTAGAACATTGGCAGGCATTGAAACGTGTACTTAGATATTTAAAGAAAACCTCTAGCTTGAGTTTAGTTTACAAAGGAGATAGTGAGCAGAGTATTATCGGCTACGCTGATGCAGACTGGGGCAGCAATGTTAGAGACAGAAAATCATTCACAGGATTTATTTTCAAATTTTCCAATGCGGCTATTTCTTGGGAAAGTCGAAAACAAAGCACCGTGGCGATGTCCTCTAGTGAAGCCGAGTATATGGCTTTGAGCGACTCATCGAAGGAAGCCATATACTTAAAAAGCCTCTTTTCTGAATTGTTGGGGTCATGCTCTCCAATAAAAATCTTTTGTGATAGCCAGTCAGCGCAGAAAATAGCAACGAATCCAGTATTACACAGAAGAACCAAACATATTGATATTCGTTACCATTTCATTCGCGAAAAAATTGACAATAATGAAATAGTTTTGGACTATCTGTCCACAGCTGAAATGGTAGCAGATTTTTGCACAAAACCTGTACCAAAACCAAAACATGAATTTTGTGTTAAGGAATCAGGACTGTTCGTTACATCATTTAGTGACTAACTATTGGATTAAGGGGGAGTGTTGGAAGTTATCAAATGACCTAATCCACTAGCTAGTTTATTACTTATGATCTTTATTGTTTATGTAAAATAATCAAGTTGTTATTTTTTATTGATGAGTAAATAAAATATATTGACATTGTCAAGTTGTATAATTTATAAAAGTTAAGAATCTAATAATTCTTTGGGATCTTCTACTGAAACAAATCCATTTTTCCTACAGTCTGCATCATTCTCTAATTTTATAAAAAAATTAATTACTTGGCAACCCTGCAATATTTAAAACAAAATCTAGTATTGTATACAGTGTTATTAATCCATTCTAAAATTGAAATAAAATACAGGGTGTTTAATTAAAAAAATATTCATTTTTATTTGCCAGGCTAAACTGCAACACCCTATAAGTCCAAAAATATTTTTAAAATACGTATTTTTTTAAATCCATTCAACTAGTTTGCGTGACTTAAACACAAATTGAAATAATGAGCAGTTACGCACTAATGGGATAGCCTGCATATCCCGTTTAGGTCGCGTTTGAATCAATATCAACTTTAAATATTGTTTATGTAAATTAATTTGTTTATTATTTATTTTTGAGTTTTGAGAAATTCGCCAACGGATTAAAGGCCCACCTGATTTTTTTGGGATAAAGCAATAGTATATTTGACAGTAAAATTAAATGCGTTAATTTCTGTTTTTGAAATCGTTATTTTGCGACAATATAAATAGGGTAGATATCTTGAGCATAAGAATAAAACATTTTAATATAATATGCGGCATTAGGTGTCAGAAAAAGCTTTTATAAGTGTTCATTTTGGCCATAAGTGATTATTTGGTTAAAAAATGTACTATTTTCTAAACATCAAGTAAACTCTCTACGTTGCACAGGAGGACGCAGCTGTGTAGTTGTTTTTAAGTAAATTCAACAACATCCAGGAAACGACCAACTGAGCTATAGTTAAAAATGAAACGTTTTAAAAACCCAACGATTGACCAAATTGGTGCAAAACAGGGTTGTGACAAGGTTGTGTTAAGGTGACTTATGTTTGGTTGGCAACCTTTTTAAAAACGTCTCCGCAACGTTAATTTGTTACTTGGGTAATGTATCTATTTCTTGCTACTGAGTTCTAATAAGAACCAAACCGGTCCAAGAATGATGTTCTCCTTAATAGACAAAATTATAAGTCAAAGGAGTATTTTGTTTTTCTGTAGGGGAATGGTTACTAGTATTATTGAATTTGGCTTTAAGATTTGATGAATTTATTTATTTTTTCGAGTAAATTTTGTTAAAACTTTATTGAACATTATTTTTTAACTAATCTTTTAACCTCATTTACAAATTTACTGAAAATATGAAAACGAAAACACTCTTAAACGGTTCCTTTCTAGTCCTATTGTTATAAGTAACGAAAAAGGAAAATAATACCTCTAGAACCAAATTTTTGGTATACCCTGTAGAGCTAAAATTTTAGAGCGTTAATATTTTCTGGTCTCAGCTACATCATATCAAAATTTTAGAATTTTCTACAGAAGACCAATTTACATTTATTTTAAAATCTGTTGCGCTTTTAAAAATACATTTTAAGTTACAACTCATATAAAACACACTTACCAGCGGCAGCTTCTTCTCTAGCTTGCTTAATCCTCTTCACTTTACGTTTTCTAGCTTCGGCAACCTTCTCGGCAGCTCTTTTTTCGGCCAGAAGCAGCTGTTGCAGCCCTTGCGTCTGGTGACTGGTTGACATGATAGTAGTGGAATGCTGAATATGAGAATGCTGAATATGATGGTGCATAGGCATATTCAAGAATGATTTCTATAAGCTTTCTTTTTATTTCTGAAAAATAGACAGTGACAAGTAACAGTAACAGTGACAATGTTAGTCTTGGGGCACAGTTTATGATGGGGTGTGGAGTTATTAGTCTAATAATAGGATAGTCTGTTATCCCATCACCAGAAGCAATGTCATTGTTGTCAAAAAATTAGTAATTTTTTTTTCAAATTTTAGTATTTCATTAGAAGACACTTACAATTAAGTTTAAGTTATACCCTTGCGAGGTGCGATGGCTCAGTGGGTAGAGTCATGACTTTGAGATCGAATAGTTTCAGGATTGAATCCCACCGGTCGCAAGGATTTTTATTTAATTTAAGTAATTAAATAATAATTCTAATGCACATTTAGGATTCCCCCTACTTTACCATTAAAAAATTCAATAGTGCTTATTTCAAGTATTTTTTTCATTACTTTGACATTTCTAGCATATTACAAAAAACAAAGGATTGTTTTGAAAATATTATAGCAAAATTAAAAAACTGAATTAATTATCAGTTTAGATGTCTCAATACCTGACATAGCAGAAACAGAAATAAACTAGAGCCTGACATGAAAATGACTTTGAGATTAAAAGGTCTCAGGATGGAATCCCACCGGTGACAGGGATTTTTATTTAATTAAAAAAAAACAATTAAATATTAATTCTAATGCATATGTAGGATTTCCCACTCGACCATTCTCTGTTGGGTTCTAATTAACAGTGCTGTTTCTAAAATGGCGCTGGGAAACAGTAACAAGGCCTGCCTCTAGGGGTGCAGGAGTATTAGAATACTAGCACTCCTGCACTACGGAGGATTAGACTACTAGTACAATCCATAATCTACATAGAACACGAGGCTAATGACCTAAGTTGTCAAAGCCAAAGGCACCAATTATAAAAAAAATTAAATAAACCCTAAAGCAATATGTCAGAAAAATAAATATGAACGACCATTTCCGTTCGGAAAACAACTACTCCCTTGGCCAATACCACAACAGGTATTGAATTATATCCAATGCACAGAAGAGATAACAATATAAAAAAGAAACATGGGGCTAGTTCCACCACAAAGATACTCTGAGAAAACGTAACTATTCAACGTATACCTAGCTCTGTGGTGTACTGTGAATTAATACATTTTCTCAGAGTATCTCTGTGGGGAACTAACCCTATGTTTCTTTTCTGTATTGTTCTCTATTCTGTGTCCAAAGGAAGACAGCAGAGATAGAAATAATTTCAATACTCTACCTTTGATTTTGCTTAATAAGGAGGAATCCATTCTTGGACAGCTGTTTTGTCTTTACTCATCTTGACTCATCAGCAAGAAATAGGCGGGTTTTCAATTCCAATCTCAGTTGAAATTAACAAATGGACTATTTTCTATGATATATTGTAGTGGTGGTTACGGAAAGAAAGTAGAGAAAAGTAGCGCCATTTGTTCCTATTAAACAAAATCAAATTTTGAATTAAAAATTAACCAACCTTTTACTAGCAAATTATAAATCAAATTAACCCTAGTCAGCTATTGGGACAAGTTCAATTTTGCACGCGTACCAGTAGCTAAAACATCTGTCAGGTACTAGGTAATGGTAAAAGATGACATTTAATATAACGCTATTCACAGTATTATCAAAATACTGGTATTATCCTTAGTATAAGATCTTATTTTACATAACGATATTCACCGTATGGGTTTTTATTACGTAAAAACGATAAAATATAAAAGATTTTACCAAAAAAATATATTTAATTTGTCTATTTCTTCTACTAATTATCATTTTTCGATATTTTAAGTTTTTTGAAAATACAGGGATTTAGCTTTGGACGGCAGAGTATCGTTGCCTAAATATCGATACTTTCATCGTTTAATATCGATACTTCAATAGTATCGAGGTATCGATAATAATTTAATATTTTAACATTTTTTTTTTAATAAACATAAATTAATATCAAAATGTCAATATGGTTTTCAATAGGGCTTATCTACAATTGATGCAATTGCCGAACTAATAAAAACCATCTACAAACTCGTTGATGATAGATGACCAAAAGCATGTGTATTTATAGATCTCGCACAGGCATTCAACATTGTTTGTAATAAACCGTTGATCGATGTATTGAGAGATGGAAAAATTCGAGAGACATCATTTGATTTAATTATTAGTTGATTAAATAACAGGAAACAAATAGTGTAAGTAAAGGATGTCTTTATAGTGATAATAAAAGTGCCACAAGGTACCATTCTTCGTCCTCTATTGTTTACTGTTTACTTAAATGGTCACTTTAGAATTGAAACTGAAGGAAAAATAATTAGTTTTGCTGACGACCGACACTGCCATTATTTATATTTGCATCTAAAAATTGGAGTGGTTTAAAAATAAAATCGAAATTAGATTAGAGTAAAACTATTGAATGATTCAATCGTATAAAATTAACTGTTAACTATGAGAAAACCCATTTTGTTCGTTTTTGTAGTTATAAATCCTCTTAAGGTGATTACAGCACCCACTTTTAACGAGGCGTTTTAGCCACTAATTTCGGCGAATTTTAAAAAATCATTAACAAGAAATTAAGAGCTTAAATTTGGGGATTATATTAAGAATACTGCTGTTGACAAATGTTTTTATTTTCATTATGATATTTCAAAATTTAAAGCCCTTTGATTTTTTTCCTTGGAAACTGGAAAGAACTAAAAATTTAAAATATATGCATATTATAGATATTATTGCCTTATATGGTTTTCCAAAATTTTAATTTAAAAAAAAAATACTTTTTGAGATATCCTTGTCCGAAAATTATAAGTGGGTGCTGTAATCACCTTAACCACCTTTTAATCTTCGAGCATATATATTTCATAGAGTCCGCATTCAATAGGGTTTGTTTGCGTTATGAGGGGAAATGCCTGGACACTATTACCAGTGTCGCATCATTTGTACGGGGTTTGCAATTAATATAAACAATAAATTTGGTACATACCTTTAAAATTCTTTAAATTATGCACATATTTTAAAAACTTGCATTATTTAAGTAGGTACCTATCTAGTAATAGAAAATTATTATTATTATTATCATCAATATTATTATTTGTGTTGGAAGCATCAGATTTTTTTTTAACTCAAACATCAGAAAGTGTATAACGGAATAATGAAGGTTGAAATAATTGGCAATAAAAAGATAAAAAGGTTATATTTAAATCAAAAATATAAATAAATAGTAGGTATATTATACAAATATTTATGATATTTCTTAACACACGTGTACGAGAATTACAATACAAGAACGTTTTCCAATAATTTATTAAATATAAAAATACTATTCGTAACCAATGTTCAGTAGATTACTAAACGATATACTACAAATAGAAATCAAGCTAATACTTAGGTACATTTGCACTGCTAGTCGTTAACAAATAAGTGAAGCTTTATTTTTCTTGGAAAACTGTCTTAAGCTTCGATTATTTCTTAATGACTAGGAGTGCAAATATAAGAATCTTAAAATGACTTTTTTATTGAAAAACTCACATTATGTTTCGCTCATTTCTTAACAACTAGTAGTCTACTTAATTAAAGAACATAGATATATTAAATACAAAATAATTATTGTCAATTTTTGTGGTTTATAAAAAATATTGGTAGTAATAGGTATTTATTTTAAAATAAAATTTATGTTGTATTAAAAAGTTACTTCTATGTTTTCTAACTCTGCATTTTCTTTTTAAGCGACAGGGGCTTCATGGTTCAGATCATTAAATTAAATTAAAAATTTTGAAAGATTAACCAACAAGAAAAGTGCAGGGTTCTTTACTTTTTAAAATTCATCTTCTTCTAGGGCCTCAGTAAATGCTGATGACAATGCACCTGGAATTAATCTAGTTCTTACTCCGCATCGAGTCTTTGACATAAATATATATCCAGAAAAATGATTGGAACATAAGCATCACTATTTGAAATGTTTTCTGAAGTAAATTTTAATATGTTTCACTAAATGCGTTTTTTCGGCCGGATTAGCTGGAAACCTACAAAAAACAAAAATGATTGATTTTACATCTTCAACATTATCATGATAAAATGACTTAAAAACAATAGGCTTGTTTATATTGAAAAATTATGATTATTTTTTTTAACTTTTCAGTAGAGTCCAAAATCAAAAACAATATTTCTCATGCATAATACAAGTTCTTTAAATTTAATTCAGTAAATTTACCATTTATTTTAAATTCATGTTTAACGGCCTTTTGCATAAAATGTAGGTCCTTTTTTTTTTTTTTTTTTTTAAATGGTAGAGACGCTAATGGTTATTACTTGTGAAATGCCCTTGACGATGACTTCTATTTACAACTTACACAAACCCTCACCATTGTTAAAATTTGTATCAGTAAAGTAATAAAATACAAAAAATCACTTATAAACTACAAAAATAAGCTAAAAATTAATGAAAATCAAAAATCAAATGACAGTTCTGACAATTTCGAACGATTTGACATGCCAAGCAAAACGAAACAGACCAATGGGAATGCTGGAGACTATTCTTCCCCCCTGTACCAAAACAAAGTCCATTTGGATGATGGCTCTAGTAATATATGCTCGAAGCTTTTAATGAAAACGGATTTACAATTATTACATACATTTAGATTTGCATCTCAAGTGGAAAGCCCATGACGAGGATATTGCTAAATCTTAATATGCCTTTTTTCAAAATTTACATGTTTTAAATCATTTCCAGAAGTTTTTTATTTGAAAATAATTTATTAGTCTCTTGTTCAGTCGAGGTTAAACTACAATAAGTATACTTTATGTTTAAAATCCATCAAAAACTGATGTTTTATAAAAAAAATATAAAAAATGATTTTAAATATTAAATGGACTCTCCATTTAGATTTTTTTGTTTATAATATTCTGTCCTATTATTTATCTACAAATACTTCACTTTCCTAAAAAGAACGATATTTTAGAATACTCTACCAGAAATAAATAATTTTGTAACATGACCTAATCGACAATAAAACCATTCAAATTTAAATTATTACTATTATTAAAACTATAAAAACTAAACTTGGTCATAAGATCACATTATGGTTTTACCGAGCATCTATGACAAAGTTTGTTTATTCTTCCTAAAAAATGTATATGTCTATATAAATGCATCTGTAATATTTTTGAATAAACTAATTATTATATTGAATCGTATATACAGTGCTTTTCAGATAAAAGTATCCACCTTAAGTAACTTTTGAAGGACTGATTATTACAAAAAACAAAAAAATACGTCAATTAATATTCGAAGGGGGAGATATCGTGCCATATTTAAGTTTGCTGAAAAAGTCACCCTTTCACCCCTACTATCATCCCTTCAATTTTTTTAAATGGCTTCCCCTATTTTTTTTTATCCATTTTTGGATTGTTCTCGTTTAACTGATTTCAAAAATGTATAAAACATGGGGTTTAAAATAATTAGTTTATGATCTACAGGGTTCCATTATTTGAGTGACAAATTTTTACAACTCACCTTACTGACTGCAGCAAAATTGGATTTAGAATACATTATACCTTAATCGTAACGCTAAAAACTTGTTGAAGTTTTTGATGATACATGGTAAAGGTATTGGAGATTTGAAAAATGAATTTAAATTACTTTTATAGTGTATTTTGATACATGTGCACATTGATTTGTTGAGGTTATTTATTTGATTTGAAAATGGTTTACAGTTTACAAGAAAGAATTGAACTTGTAGGTTTATACTACAAAAATAACAGTTCTGCACGAGCTGCTGCTAGAATTTTCAACGAAACACACCAAGGAGGTCATGCAACTCATAAGTATGTAATTGATCTTATGCATAAATTTACATCAACCGGGTCAGTTGGCAATAAAAAACATAACCGACTGGAACTCGTAAATAACGAAGCAATTGAAGTCGCAGTTTTAGGACAAGTAAGTCTTGAAAATCAACAAGCACAGTCACTGACAACAATAAGCAGAGAAGTAGGTGTTTCATCTTCCACAGTTTATCGAATATTACACAAACATAAGTACCATTCATACAAAATTAAATTGGTTCAAGAGTTGTATGAAGATGATTTTGATCGTGAACTATTGAGTCAGCGCTTGACTGACAATCCACATTTGTTGCACAACCTTTGTTTTTCGGATGAATGCACATTTTCAGTTAATGGTTTAGTTAATAGACATAATTGCAGATATTGGGCTGAGAGTGATCTACATGTTGTGCGTGAATACCACACACAGAATCCTCAAAAGTTAAATGTATGGTGTGGTATCCTAGGTGACCACATAGTCGGACCTTTCTTTTTAGACGGAAACTTAAATGGAGAGTCATATCTTGAGTTATTGAGAGAAGTAATTGATCCACGTATTACAACAATAATAGAAAATGATCATAATCTTTCTGAAGATTTGCTTGTCTTTCAACAGGATGGAGCGCCTCCACATTTTGCTTTGCCAGTACGACAATTTTTAAATGAAACTTTCCCCAATCGTTGGATAGGTAGAAGAGGCTCGATGATGGAGTGGCCACCTAGATCACCGGATTTATCACCTCTAGACTTCTTTTTATGGGGTTATTTAAAAACAAAAATTTATGCTACCCAACCAGAATCTTTAGAAGATTTATGACAAAGAATAGAGTATGAATGCCTACATTTAAATGCACACGTGTTCGGTAATGTCAGGGAGGCTTTTCAATCTAGGTTATACCATTGTATGGAAGTAAATGGTGGACATTTTAAACAATTTTTGTAATAAATTTTGAAAATGAAATATTCGTTTTGTCATTGGAAACGCTTGTGACAAAATCATTAAAATAAAAGTTTTGCACAATTCAATTTTATTTTAATTTAAAATTCTGTAGATCGTAAACTAATTACTTTAATCCCCATGTTTTATACATTTTTGAAATCAGTTAAACGAGAGCAATCCAAAAATGGATAAAAAAATGGGGCAAGCCATTTAAAAAAATTGAAGGGATGATAGTAGGGGTGAAAGGGTGACTTTTTTAGCAAACTTAAATATGGCACGATATCTCCCCCTTCGAATATTAATTGACGTATTTTTTTGTTTTTTGTAATAATAAGTCCTTCAAAAGTTACTTAAGGTGGATACTTTTATCTGAAAAGCACTGTATAAATATTTAATTAGATACCTATGTTGTATACAGGGTGTCCCGAAATTAGACGGTCATATTTTAACAGCGTAATCTACATCCTAAAATAGGAATAAAAGTTCATATAAACATAGGTCTGAAAACGTTTCGTTTTCGAGATGCAGGGTGTACCAAGTAAAGTCCGGATGGCACATTTTTGTAAATATTTTCTAAAATTTCCTTTATTCACCGGTTTTCCAAAGTAAAAAAAAAATAAAATTTTTGATTCCACAGGCATACTAATTATTGTTAACACTTTCGAATAACTTATCATGAAATTTTCAAATGCTTTTCTCTTGAAAATGGTGCGTTCTAGCGAGATGCAACAATAGTAGCTTTATTATAAAGAAAACATTGGGTTTCCAATTTTTTTGTCAAAAATGTTAAAAACTGTCAACAAAAAAACTTAGGGCAATTTTACCCTAAGCCCCCCTAATTTACCCACCTATGAAGATGATCAGAAATTGGGGTTTAGTCCATTAAATAGAGCGTAAAAAGGTAAGCATTTGTACCAAATTTCATTTAGTAATCTTTAAACGTTTAGAAAATATTTACAAAAGTGTGTCATCAGAACTTCACTTTTAACACCCTGTATCTCGGTAAAGAAACGTTTTCGGACCAATGTTTATATGAACTTTTACTCCTATGTAGATTACGCTGTTAAAATATGACCGTCTAATTTCGGGACACCCTGTATATCACCTGTTTTAAAACAATCAAGCACGCCGCTGATACCAGATAATTTTTTTGAACAAAATTTTTGAAAAAAATTGTACCTAGTTATTTACTGAAACCTCGTAAATTTATTTCGCGATTGTCCACGAAGTAAAGAATGATTTTAAAATGTTGATTTCAACAGTATTTTTTTTATTTTTCCAATTACATTTTAACTTTGGAAGTAATATATTAACAGAAATAGATTTCGATATTTTGACTAGAAATTTAATTGAAAATTTTCGTGTGGATCCTTTCCTCAATGTTGGTAAGTTTATTTTTTATATATCTGTCCAGGTCAAGACCAGTGTTGTCAAAATTAATATCAAATTTATTTGCAAATTATAAAATTAAAAAGTATGTAGAAAAGTATGTCCCAAAAACCATGTTTTGTAACACATAAAAATTAAATGGTATATCTATCTACTTATTAAAAGATTCCGAAACAATATCATACTCACATCAAAGAGACTATAAAATTAGAAAGTATGTAGAAAAGTTCAATTTGTTTCATGTCCGAAAAACGATGATTTATAGCTTATTAAAAACTAAATGGCATAACCTCAGTTTCTGTAGGTCAGTGTAAGAAACCTCTATTATTATTTTTTTCGATTGGGGCCATCAGTTAAGTTTAAAAAATACGTGTTTCATTACCTATATTTTCGTTGTTTTATTAAGTAGATGGTTTTAAATTGGTTCACCGGGATTTTTGGGATGGAAAATCATAGTTTGAGCCTAAATATCATTTACCTTATAGAGGGAGCTAATTGCAAGGAATTTATTACTTTTAACCCCCTTACTTTTTTGTGCCCGTCAATGGTGGTTACGTAATATCAATTTGTTTTAGACATTTTCATGTTCTACGTTTTCGCCTCTTCCTTTTTTCCGAAAAACGCTTAGTTTTTTAAATATTTAATGTTATATAAAGTCATGTTTGCCAAAAAACTTGATTTAATAATTAACCAATTAACAAAAAGTCATAAAACATCATTTTTTCAAAAAAAAAAAACAACATACAGAATAAAACAAACAAAAACAATAACACTAATACCAATTAATATTAAGTTACATTTTAAAAATGACTTCCCTCAAGATTAAACACTTACGTCCTTTTTTGATTAACGAATACCGGACGTCCCTTCCTTTTTTTCGAAAAACGCTTAGTTTTGTTTTTATACCGTAATAATTTGTTAAACAGTATATTGTGCAACAAGTGCAGAAAGTAATCAATTTCACATGGGGTGTATGGGTGTGCCACAATCACACGAGTGAAATAGGCTTTTGCACGAGTGGCATACTATACTTTTTCTACGACCACAATTACTAAATCACAAATTACACATTTTTTAAATAATTTTAAATGATTTAAAATACTTTTCAAATTTGTAACATATTTTCTTTTCTTTAATCTAAACCTAATTTAATTCGAGAGACGCTAAAATGGTGGTTCCCACCTTATCGAGACTGAGGCCCACAAGAGTAAATTCGTAGCGTAAAAAACGAAAAATGATTTAACTTGGAACGAAAGACCGAAAGCCGATAGTAGTATTAAGACGTTGAATTTTTTGGTGTGATGATTTTTACAGCCCTTAATTTTTAAAACCATTCTATATTGCCTTTTGATTAGGGTTTACAAACTTGTTGGAGCAATTTATCCAATAATAAATTGGCCCCTTTGCCTCTTAAGCCTGCTCATATAAAATATTTACGCTCCTTACTTCGCCTATTTATCTAAAAATATTTGGTCCCTTTTAAATATGCCCATATAAAATTATATGATCCCTTTACTCCCTTAGATCTGTTCATGTAAAAATATTTGCGCCAATTGTCGCTTAAGCCTACCTACCTATAAAAATTTAAAATGGTTTTAAACAAGCGCCAACATCTTTTTCCATTTTGATAAAAGTATTAATACCAATTCTTTGGGCAGTGCATTTATCATTCTTACAGTTTAAAAATAGTAGTGCTGGACGACTACTGATGTATTTTTTAAATATCTTTAAAACATTTTAGAAATTAAAAATTTTCGAGTTGTTTTGGTCTTGGTTTTGGAAAAATTTACTGAAAAAGCTAATTGATCTTGTAAATCACTAATTTTCATGCAATGCATCTCATTAGCTGGAGATGCTTTCATTATGCCTATTATTAAAGACTTTAAGAAATAAATACCTTATTGTCATATTATATAGAGAAAACCCTTACTAAAAAAGTTGATCCAAGGTCCACAAGTACCCGTTATTCTTAAAGGAGTACGTCAAAATTTTACCCTCAACATTTCTGGGTTGTTTACAGTAAGGGCGTTCAATTATTTAAAAAATAAAACACAATTTACAGATTTTATTTTTTTGTTGTTAAACTTAGTATCAAATATGTCTATTTTGCCTATTTTTCGATTTTTCGATTTGCGATTTTTCCATTTTCGTTAGTGCGTCATAGAAAAAATATACTGTATAACTTGAGTGGATTGTCCATATCCACTCTTGTTGCAAAAACTACTAATTTTTTACACCCTCATGGATATTAGCTTCTCTATTCACAGACTACAAAACGAAAAAGTATGCTATTGCGTTCAACTGAACGAATATATTTTATATCTATTCTAGATAGTGAGGCAAAAAATATAATCCACCAATCAGAGTTCATATTTTGGACACCCAACTACCTATTAATATTTTTTTCTACACCCACATGGATATTAGCTTATCTACGCACAGACTACAAAACGAAAAAGTGTGTCATTGCGTTCCATTGAACGAATATATTTCATATCCATTATAGGTAGTGAGAACACTACAAAAAATGAAATCCACCACAGTTCATATTTTGTCACCTAACTACTATTATTTGTATAATTTTAAATAAAGTGCATGGTTGCACCTATGAAAGTCGCAACCCCACTTAAAAATCTCACCTTTACAATCAGTAGCTGTTGTTTGACAGGTCATTGGAGAATGTTTGCAATGTATGGAATGTTAGGAATCTTAGGAATGTTAGACGTTTGGAATCCTTAGAATGCGTTAAGAAAATTAATGTTAAAGTACTCGTAGTTAGGATGAACGGAAAATTCTGAAAATCAATAGGTGTTTTAAGGTAGAAGCAATTATTCAAGAAAATCAAAACCGCAAGTCAATCAGAACTTTCGTTCTCGAGTTATCGTGCCGGCATACATACGCACAGACGACCAGACGAAAATTTTTTTTTTTGCATTTTCGGACTCAGAATGATAGAAAAGCTCCCCAAAATAAGCCATTAAAATATTTTCTGAAAGAGAGTTCACCATAAATCGTGAATAAGCAAGTTGTATTTTTTCACCGATATTTGAGGCAATAAGTCTTTGTAATGTTATTCGCTATTTCTTTAATATGTGGTGGAGTATTATTATCACCACGTTTACTATCACTGTCCATTTTATTATTTGTTATTTTCAAAAATATCGAAATAAATTAAATGTCAATATTATAAATCTCAATATTCTAAATCGGGTAACTTCATTTGATTTTTTTTTATATTCTCTTTTATATATAGGCAACCAACATTACAGAAGTTATAAATCATTTTACGCTCTTTCCTAAATTAAGTAAAAGTTCCTTAAAATACAATATTGTGTTTTTTCATTCGTACTGAAGGTTATACATCAATTAATTCGAAGTTACTATGTGAAATATTATATCCACTCTAATTATGGATGTGTACGGAATTGCCTACTTTGATGCTTAAAAAACAATTCGTAATATGTGATTTTCTGTAGTGGTCGTCGAAAAATTAAATTGTCAAACTTTTTTAATTAAGAATAGTTGGTCATGGCGGAAAACAATATTTTCTGCTTACCTGTCAAAACATTAATAATTAACAAAACATGATAGATAATATTGACGGAAAATAATTAGATTTTAATTAGTTAGTGCGATATAATTAGTTGACTTTAAATATTAACTAAGGTAATCACTAATATTATCATTGCAAATAGGGAAGAAATTGTTCCATAATCTGAAATGTCCGATATGATATTGATGATGGGTAAGAATACCACAAACATACATTAGCGTTAGTTTAATTATTTAATCAATGCAAAATTTATAGAAAAATGCGATTCTAATGACAGTTTAGCTGCTAGGCTTATGCGCAAAAATACTAGTGTACAGGGTGTTTCAAAAAGGTATGTCATAAATTCTTTCTCAGATAGATTACCAAAAAATAAGTGGATTTGGCTATATTTACCTATATCAAAAACTGGCTCCTAACAAAGTTACAGGGCGTTAAACTAGTGCTGTTGCGATTTTTTTTTGAATTTTTTACAGATGCTGTAGATTTGAAAGCCCAATATTCAAAGGAGAAAAAAAAAAAAATTAAAGCGACCCCCTTAAAAAAAGTTGGGGGTTGAGTACCTTTTAACCCCCTGTATTTTTGACATAAAGAAACTTGCTTTAATGATCTTAAAATCAAAAAGGACTATGAATTTTTATTTTTTTTATAGAGAAATGAACTTTGTATCTTTCTTAGTTAACGAACTATTTACAATTTTTTAACTGAATTTTTAGAGCAATTTGTTCGTCCTGGACTTAACATATCAACAAAGATAAGAATAGGTCAGGAGTTATTGTACAAAAAACGCATATGAACACCAGTAGTGTGCCTAGGGCTGTGCTTGAGCCGCCTCTGCAAAAACTACCTAATTTATTTATATTTCTGTATAGAAGAAGGAGGAGGACATGTTGAACATTTACTAAATTAAATAGTTTATAAAAAATATGTATAATAATTATTGTCAAGTGCTTATTTTTAATTGATATTTTTTTGTTGTTTACTTAAAAAAATAATTTTTTCAATTATCATTAAATTTAATAAATACATTTCCAAACTAACGTGTATTTTTATCACAGGCATGTTGAACTCATGAGGACGAGTGGCATACCATTTTTATGGCGCCAATCCAATATTTTAAATAGGTACCTTTTTACAAAAATATAAATAAAAGAGGTAGTTTTTACAGGGGTGGCTCAAGCACAGCCTTGGGAACACCACAGATTTTTATATGCGTTTTTTACAATAACTCCTGACTTACTCTTTTTTTTTTCTCCTGGGCTCGTCTGACTATGTGTCTCCAAATAACACTGAAGCCTATTGGCTTATTGTGTTTTACCCCATGTTAGTTCATAACACCCACTCTGCCACCTTTGTACCTTCTACAAGTTTGTACAGATCCTTGGGTGAGTGGGTTCTATACGTTGTTGGATCAACCTGGGGTTGTCCAAAAAGAGCCTGTCTTCT